TTAATCATTTTATTAGTAGTGTCTGACCCGTATCGAGTATAAACTGTAACATAATTGACCATTTTGCTTTAATTAATGATATTAATCACGTAGATTTGATATTTATTGAAAAAAAAAAAGAATTTGTTATATATATGGTAAAGTGTGCTAGGAGAGTCAAGCTTCAGCCTTATTCTTTATAACAATCTGAGTCAGTTATTGGTCATCCCTTTCTTTCCATAATGCTATAAAAATTTTTATTCATTAAGTAACGAGGAACCATAAATTTTATAGTTTTTTATAATTAATACCGGGCCATCCGTGCCAAGAAATTTTTGTATTTTAAAAAAAAATATTAATAATAATTTTGGTTGATTTTATATTATTTAAAATAAATAAAATTATTTTAATATATGGCAAAGGGGGCTAACAAGAGTCGAGTCTTAGCCCGCCTGCTTATAAATATCTGAGCCAGGTATTTATAATCCCTACCCCTCCATATTACTACCAGGTCATTTGTGAAGAAATTTTTCTTTACAAATCATCTATGATCCTTCCTTTTTATTCAATAAATAACCAGGAGCTATTAATTTTTTACTGTTTAAAAATCAATTCCGGGCCATCCGTGCCAAGAAATTAAAAGTATATTTTAATCAATCATTAATGAATATAATATAATCGATCTTTTAACGAATATAACTTACTTTTTTAATCATTTTATTAGTAGTGTCTGACCCGTATCGAGTATAAACTGTAACATAATTGACCATTTTGCTTTAATTAATGATATTAATCACGTAGATTTGATATTTATTGAAAAAAAAAAAGAATTTGTTATATATATGGTAAAGTGTGCTAGGAGAGTCAAGCTTCAGCCTTATTCTTTATAACAATCTGAGTCAGTTATTGGTCATCCCTTTCTTTCCATAATGCTATAAAAATTTTTATTCATTAAGTAACGAGGAACCATAAATTTTATAGTTTTTTATAATTAATACCGGGCCATCCGTGCCAAGAAATTTTTGTATTTTAAAAAAAAATATTAATAATAATTTTGGTTGATTTTATATTATTTAAAATAAATAAAATTATTTTAATATATGGCAAAGGGGGCTAACAAGAGTCGAGTCTTAGCCCGCCTGCTTATAAATATCTGAGCCAGGTATTTATAATCCCTACCCCTCCATATTACTACCAGGTCATTTGTGAAGAAATTTTTCTTTACAAATCATCTATGATCCTTCCTTTTTATTCAATAAATAACCAGGAGCTATTAATTTTTTACTGTTTAAAAATCAATTCCGGGCCATCCGTGCCAAGAAATTAAAAGTATATTTTAATCAATCATTAATGAATATAATATAATCGATCTTTTAACGAATATAACTTACTTTTTTAATCATTTTATTAGTAGTGTCTGACCCGTATCGAGTATAAACTGTAACATAATTGACCATTTTGCTTTAATTAATGATATTAATCACGTAGATTTGATATTTATTGAAAAAAAAAAAGAATTTGTTATATATATGGTAAAGTGTGCTAGGAGAGTCAAGCTTCAGCCTTATTCTTTATAACAATCTGAGTCAGTTATTGGTCATCCCTTTCTTTCCATAATGCTATAAAAATTTTTATTCATTAAGTAACGAGGAACCATAAATTTTATAGTTTTTTATAATTAATACCGGGCCATCCGTGCCAAGAAATTTTTGTATTTTAAAAAAAAATATTAATAATAATTTTGGTTGATTTTATATTATTTAAAATAAATAAAATTATTTTAATATATGGCAAAGGGGGCTAACAAGAGTCGAGTCTTAGCCCGCCTGCTTATAAATATCTGAGCCAGGTATTTATAATCCCTACCCCTCCATATTACTACCAGGTCATTTGTGAAGAAATTTTTCTTTACAAATCATCTATGATCCTTCCTTTTTATTCAATAAATAACCAGGAGCTATTAATTTTTTACTGTTTAAAAATCAATTCCGGGCCATCCGTGCCAAGAAATTAAAAGTATATTTTAATCAATCATTAATGAATATAATATAATCGATCTTTTAACGAATATAACTTACTTTTTTAATCATTTTATTAGTAGTGTCTGACCCGTATCGAGTATAAACTGTAACATAATTGACCATTTTGCTTTAATTAATGATATTAATCACGTAGATTTGATATTTATTGAAAAAAAAAAAGAATTTGTTATATATATGGTAAAGTGTGCTAGGAGAGTCAAGCTTCAGCCTTATTCTTTATAACAATCTGAGTCAGTTATTGGTCATCCCTTTCTTTCCATAATGCTATAAAAATTTTTATTCATTAAGTAACGAGGAACCATAAATTTTATAGTTTTTTATAATTAATACCGGGCCATCCGTGCCAAGAAATTTTTGTATTTTAAAAAAAAATATTAATAATAATTTTGGTTGATTTTATATTATTTAAAATAAATAAAATTATTTTAATATATGGCAAAGGGGGCTAACAAGAGTCGAGTCTTAGCCCGCCTGCTTATAAATATCTGAGCCAGGTATTTATAATCCCTACCCCTCCATATTACTACCAGGTCATTTGTGAAGAAATTTTTCTTTACAAATCATCTATGATCCTTCCTTTTTATTCAATAAATAACCAGGAGCTATTAATTTTTTACTGTTTAAAAATCAATTCCGGGCCATCCGTGCCAAGAAATTAAAAGTATATTTTAATCAATCATTAATGAATATAATATAATCGATCTTTTAACGAATATAACTTACTTTTTTAATCATTTTATTAGTAGTGTCTGACCCGTATCGAGTATAAACTGTAACATAATTGACCATTTTGCTTTAATTAATGATATTAATCACGTAGATTTGATATTTATTGAAAAAAAAAAAGAATTTGTTATATATATGGTAAAGTGTGCTAGGAGAGTCAAGCTTCAGCCTTATTCTTTATAACAATCTGAGTCAGTTATTGGTCATCCCTTTCTTTCCATAATGCTATAAAAATTTTTATTCATTAAGTAACGAGGAACCATAAATTTTATAGTTTTTTATAATTAATACCGGGCCATCCGTGCCAAGAAATTTTTGTATTTTAAAAAAAAATATTAATAATAATTTTGGTTGATTTTATATTATTTAAAATAAATAAAATTATTTTAATATATGGCAAAGGGGGCTAACAAGAGTCGAGTCTTAGCCCGCCTGCTTATAAATATCTGAGCCAGGTATTTATAATCCCTACCCCTCCATATTACTACCAGGTCATTTGTGAAGAAATTTTTCTTTACAAATCATCTATGATCCTTCCTTTTTATTCAATAAATAACCAGGAGCTATTAATTTTTTACTGTTTAAAAATCAATTCCGGGCCATCCGTGCCAAGAAATTAAAAGTATATTTTAATCAATCATTAATGAATATAATATAATCGATCTTTTAACGAATATAACTTACTTTTTTAATCATTTTATTAGTAGTGTCTGACCCGTATCGAGTATAAACTGTAACATAATTGACCATTTTGCTTTAATTAATGATATTAATCACGTAGATTTGATATTTATTGAAAAAAAAAAAGAATTTGTTATATATATGGTAAAGTGTGCTAGGAGAGTCAAGCTTCAGCCTTATTCTTTATAACAATCTGAGTCAGTTATTGGTCATCCCTTTCTTTCCATAATGCTATAAAAATTTTTATTCATTAAGTAACGAGGAACCATAAATTTTATAGTTTTTTATAATTAATACCGGGCCATCCGTGCCAAGAAATTTTTGTATTTTAAAAAAAAATATTAATAATAATTTTGGTTGATTTTATATTATTTAAAATAAATAAAATTATTTTAATATATGGCAAAGGGGGCTAACAAGAGTCGAGTCTTAGCCCGCCTGCTTATAAATATCTGAGCCAGGTATTTATAATCCCTACCCCTCCATATTACTACCAGGTCATTTGTGAAGAAATTTTTCTTTACAAATCATCTATGATCCTTCCTTTTTATTCAATAAATAACCAGGAGCTATTAATTTTTTACTGTTTAAAAATCAATTCCGGGCCATCCGTGCCAAGAAATTAAAAGTATATTTTAATCAATCATTAATGAATATAATATAATCGATCTTTTAACGAATATAACTTACTTTTTTAATCATTTTATTAGTAGTGTCTGACCCGTATCGAGTATAAACTGTAACATAATTGACCATTTTGCTTTAATTAATGATATTAATCACGTAGATTTGATATTTATTGAAAAAAAAAAAGAATTTGTTATATATATGGTAAAGTGTGCTAGGAGAGTCAAGCTTCAGCCTTATTCTTTATAACAATCTGAGTCAGTTATTGGTCATCCCTTTCTTTCCATAATGCTATAAAAATTTTTATTCATTAAGTAACGAGGAACCATAAATTTTATAGTTTTTTATAATTAATACCGGGCCATCCGTGCCAAGAAATTTTTGTATTTTAAAAAAAAATATTAATAATAATTTTGGTTGATTTTATATTATTTAAAATAAATAAAATTATTTTAATATATGGCAAAGGGGGCTAACAAGAGTCGAGTCTTAGCCCGCCTGCTTATAAATATCTGAGCCAGGTATTTATAATCCCTACCCCTCCATATTACTACCAGGTCATTTGTGAAGAAATTTTTCTTTACAAATCATCTATGATCCTTCCTTTTTATTCAATAAATAACCAGGAGCTATTAATTTTTTACTGTTTAAAAATCAATTCCGGGCCATCCGTGCCAAGAAATTAAAAGTATATTTTAATCAATCATTAATGAATATAATATAATCGATCTTTTAACGAATATAACTTACTTTTTTAATCATTTTATTAGTAGTGTCTGACCCGTATCGAGTATAAACTGTAACATAATTGACCATTTTGCTTTAATTAATGATATTAATCACGTAGATTTGATATTTATTGAAAAAAAAAAAGAATTTGTTATATATATGGTAAAGTGTGCTAGGAGAGTCAAGCTTCAGCCTTATTCTTTATAACAATCTGAGTCAGTTATTGGTCATCCCTTTCTTTCCATAATGCTATAAAAATTTTTATTCATTAAGTAACGAGGAACCATAAATTTTATAGTTTTTTATAATTAATACCGGGCCATCCGTGCCAAGAAATTTTTGTATTTTAAAAAAAAATATTAATAATAATTTTGGTTGATTTTATATTATTTAAAATAAATAAAATTATTTTAATATATGGCAAAGGGGGCTAACAAGAGTCGAGTCTTAGCCCGCCTGCTTATAAATATTCATGTATATATATATATATATATATATATATACATGAAAAATTTATCAAAATGCATATGGGTACTCAAATGAAAGCTCTTGATGACTGTAACATCGGTATGAGCTTATATCTTTAAAAACGTCAATAGTTAAAAAAGTAAAATGCAATTTGACAAAAGTCATTATTTAATAAAGCAAAATTTTATCTATTTATAGTTAACAAGTTACGGCAATCACATAGTGACTGCAAGGTTGCTAGTTTTTATTACTTTCATCATTGTAACTATTCAAAATAACTAAAAATCAACAAATCATTTAAGTATGAAAAATATTTTTAAATTGAATTGAATTAATGCAGTAATTGGATACCAAGTAGTTTCAGACCATGAATGACGAAATTTCGTTTATAAATGTATTTTTATTCTTCTTTAGTTGATTTCAATTAACATATTTTCAAAATGCCTATAAGTATGATATTTATTATATTATAAATTAAAAATTGAAAACTTCAAACCTGATCATTCTTTTTGATTTCATTGTTTTGATAGCCATCGTTCTCTACAGAATTTCCAGATGTTGACAGAGTAGCTTCAGCGGGTTTAGAGTGAATTAATGGTTCTTTTATTTCAGAGATATTTATAGCAGAAGAATCGTTTTCTTTATCCACTTCTATCGCTTCTTGTTGATCCATTTTCTGTTGTAAAAATTATTAAACACCATAGTATTTTTAATAAATAATGAGACCGATTCATTATTCAAAAGAGTTATAAATTTTATAATGTTAGCATTTGTAGAATTGAATATATTTATTTGCCTTCTATTCGAATAAGAGTATTATATAGGTCAGAAAATCTGCATGCGAGTCACTAGAAAAAACCTAATATATAATTAAATTTAATTTCAATAGCTGTTTAAAAAAGAATACATTTCAAGCATGCCAAAAATTTTTTATCGAAAACGATTCAAGAAAGAATTGGAATAAAGGAATATCGTTGAAATTTTTAAATCTTGAAAATTTTTTGCTTAGTGTTTTATATTCATAATATTTTCAAGAAAAGCAAAGTATTATACATTTTTAGTTTTAAGTAATAATAAGATTATTCATTTTTATTCATAGTAATTGCTATTATTACAATTGTAAATTGAAAATATTAGTATAAAATGTTTCTCGAATAATGTTACAGATTTCAATCAAGCAAGTAAATTAGAATTTTACAATATTTGAAACACTTAGACCAAATAAAATATCCGCATGAGAAAACGTAAGCCGTTAGTCAAGTAATTAATATTTTAAAGTCTTAATGTAATATATTTCTTACATTTAAAATTGTTCTATCATCTTGTTAATTTCCTAAGTGTCTTGGTAGCAAAGAAACATAACTCTTTACTCCAGTGGTGTAAAATGATAGTTTTGCTTCAAAAAACTAATTACACCATTATTTTGACTTTCACTAATTTTAGTTAATGTTTGCAATAAATCTTTTTGAACATCCTCTTCATGCAAAAGAGTTTTCAGTTGGTACTCAAAATCGATGAGTATAAATTGGTTGGGGCTTTCTAGTGTTAACTTGTACTGGGTTTCACAGTCTGTACATTTTATAGATTTTGTTTTCATTCTTTTGCAGTTATTATGAGAAGTTAATATAATATTACAATTCGTACAATAAAAATGTGTATTAATTTTAGATTTTGGGGGATTATATGCTTTATCTCGTGCATGTTGCGAAGGGTTCCATGATGAGAATTCCGGGCCAGCTAAAAGCTTTACAAGCTCGATTAAATCATTTTCATCTTTCTTAGTTAATCTTTTTTTTATGGAGTAAACAGTAATAATTAATAAAACATCTGCAATAGTTAATTGTGCTCTAGGAAACATCATGAGGCTACCTTGCATATGGTCGGTGTTAAATAAATTTGATTCATCACAAGACGCACAATTATTATTAGAGGAACAATTAACATCATTTTCTTTTGTACTATCAGAATCGCTATCCGACGAAAAATCAGTTTCTTCAGATGAAAAATCATCACAGTTTACATGAAAAGAAGAACTATCGTTGTCTGAAGAGCTTTCTGAGCTCATATTATATACATTATTCAAATTGTTTACGTCTAGAAATTCAGTATGTTCATTATCAAAAAGATTTGAATTTGTATGATTATCGCTGCTGAAGAGTGACTTATTATTACTCACGAGACACTCTAAATTACTTAAATTTTCTGAAACATCTTCAATATTATTCTCATTTTTTGTCACAGAAACAGAGTGATCAGAAGACTGCTGCTGCAAGAGGTTCCACCTCTGTTTTGTTCTTATGCAAACGCGTTTCGGGTAGTGAGATTGTTGTAGGTACTGTTTGTTTACTCTTTTTTGGGATTCAGCACCATTAGATTTCTATGACAAAATATAATTATATATGTTAATCAAATAGAATTGGAAGTAATTACGCGGGAAATTCAACACATTAAAGTGATCTTTAAAGTAATATGAAAAATTTGTGGTACGCAAATTGGATATTGATAGAGTAACAAGATATTTGAAAGTCGATCAATGCAATGGTTAAACTCTAAATAAAACCTTTAGTCGATAACGTCTGTAGTTACCATACAAAAATACATTTCTAGGTGTAATATTTATACTAATTTTGTAATAGACTTTTGAAAAAAAATACAGATTTAAAGACATTTAATCAGATCTGCTCAGATCTTCAAATTATTTAAATCCAATAGAATATATGATGTAAATTATAAATGAGTATATCCAGGTTTGCTCAGATATGTAGATACGTGAAAGAACGTAGATCAAAAAAAATTAATTAAATCTGAGTAAAATCAGAAATTTATTTTTTTATTATGTACTGCGAATTTTAATTCTTTATATAAATGTAACAATTTTTTTTTATGCGTCAATTAATTCTTGATAGTTTATTTTTTGACCGAGGAAAAAATGTAAGGCTTTATTGATCAGTTCAAATATAAAACCTTCAGATTATCATTGGAGGTCTTTATCGTTTTTGTTTTGACTTCGTAAAGTATATCTTCATTATATTATAGTTTAATAAATAAATAAATCACAGTATTTTTTAGATAATCGATTGCCTGCAAAAGAGAAGTTGAGTTCAAGACGAAAATGAGTATGTTTATTTGTTCGGGTATAAGTACTAGACAATTGCACAAGAGTTGCACAATATACGATTTTTTTATTACTAATACCGGAATAATCAAATCAAGAATAATGTAATAAATTACATAAGTATGAATATGATGTCCAGAGACGCACTCTTCTAATAAAAATAATAGAATTGTTTCTAGAAATTATAATTTATTTCTAGTAAAAAAATATATAAAAATGCTTAACGGAGCATATCTCGTTGAATAAATGGTGAAAATTTCAAAGTAAAAAAATTCTAGCTGATTTTAAAGTATTTGATAAAGCATGAAGTGGCTTATAAATAGAATTTAATTTTAATCAAACAATATATCTTACGAAGCTGGTAAAAAAATTTAGTACTCTTAAATTTTACACTATGAAATTAGACGTATCATCACAGAGTATATAAGGTAATTCATAATTTTATCAAATACTGTCATCAATAAAATATTCATTTAATTGTTATTTAAAAATTCTTCACTTGTATGTTTTTTATTTCAAAATTTATAATTTTAAAAAATAGAAAAAATCTCACCATTAATTCTTTTTCTTTTAAGGCTAATTTCTCTTGAAGGACTGATTGGATAGAATTATCGCCACTTTCTGTTTTTTTTTCACGGTTATTTTTGATCATATCCACATCGCTCTCTTCAGTACCAGAAACTAGTTTTGAAACTGGAGGAAATTTGGTACGCTGACTATCTATAGTCTGTTGAAGTTTTTCTTCAGTTTCTGAAAAACAAGACAAGGACAAAAACTGATTAAAAACTATTCAATATTTAGAGTTTTCTTTAAAGAAACAAAAAATAACTTCAATAGATATCTGATAATTTACATTATCGACATTTCGGATTATTTATAATAAAATTATCAAAGTACAGCAATAGACATTTTTTTCTTAATTTACCATTAATTTTTTGCAACTTAAAAAGTTTTTTCGTTTAAATAATATGAATAGCATTTCCGTTTAATTAAATGATCAAATATATCAAACTTTTAAAAAGTCAATACAAATTAAAGAATACTTTGCAGCTGTGGATTACATAATGTAACTAAAAGTCTGTTGGTCTATTTTGAAGGCCTTTTTTCAGTGAAAAATTATTGAAAATACTTTAATATAACCCGAAAATTTAAATATAGTTACGGGAAATGAAATTTATAATACAAGAAAAAAAAATTTTGAATATTTTAAAAATTAAAAAAAAATTGTTTCCGCGGAGAACCCACGACCGAATCGATCTGCAGTTTTGAAATAGGTAATGCTTTGCTAAGAAAACTTTTTACAAATGTAAAAATATGCATTTTTCATTAGTTTCCACTTCTCATTCTGGAAAATGCGTTAAAAACCAATAATTTTTGTTAACAAAGCTTGAATTTTAAGAGCTTTAAAAAAGTAATGCGCAAGGAACGACAAAAAGGTTCTTTTCTTTTTTTTTTAATTTAATATCTTTTAAAAAGGTAATAAAAATATTTCGAAATTTGTCATGAAGGGTTTTTGATAAGTACTAAAATTTTAAGGGTATTTATCAAAAAAAAAAGTTATTCTACAAATAAAATTTTTCGAACAGTCTTATTTCCCGTCACATGCTTCTAATTAAAACAATACTTTATAGATAGATTAAAAAATATTTTATTTGATTCTAGAGCCTAGGCTCCCTCAGAACCATAATAGAAATACAATGTAATAAGTTTATTAAAAAATGACTCACCTTCGGCGTAAATAACCACAGCTTTTTTAACTGTATCATCATCACAAGTGACCTCGTACTTTTTATTTTTTTCAAACGGAATTTTAAATTTGGCTATCTGACTTGTTTTGACAATACATAAGCCATTGTCCGGTAGACAAAACTTCACGTAGGCAAACATGACTGATGCCTCGAGGTCAGAATCAATTTATACGTGGGTAATGAATATCCTGTAATCCAAATTTACGCTGTAATTATGTGAAATAATAATCGTAAGCTATACAAGAAATATAAATGGAAAAAAGGTAATGAACATAAATATAATACGATAACGTTAATATTTAATAACAAATGCAAAAAGAAAAACGTCTTAACCAACATTTTTGAAAACTTTTTTTTTAAGTATATTATTGTTATCATGTAAACATATCTGAACCCAATTATATTATTTATAAAATTTCCAAACAAATGTTGATTAAAACGTTAGTGCTTTATCATCATTATCTAACTGTTTCGCATGGTATCGTTCAGCAATAATTAATAAAAAACTAAACATTCATTATATTTTATATCCATGCTTATCATAAAGACATAAAAACTTCATAACCAAAATTATAAGTAGCAAGACAATTAAATAATTCAAACCCTACTCATAATTCCGTTACAGAGCGGTTCCCACTTACATATGTATTATGTTTATCATTAATCAGAAGTAAATACAAACAAGTCCGTCACATAACAACAATGTCACATACATCTTTTACAGAAAAAGACAAATTTTGGCAGAAGTTAAATTTTCTCCGTTCAAAAATCAATAGAAGAAAAAAAATGTTATTGTGATCCCAAAAAAAATTTAGAGAAAAATAAAACATACAACAGCTGATTTTCCTTTTAAAAGTTCGTGCAAGTTTATTTCTGGCAAGGAATAAAAATTTTCAAACGATAAAAATAAATGATTTCTGAAATTATTCCTTAATATTATGTGAAAGTATTCAATCATTATAGTTATTTTTTTTTTCTCATTTATAGAGATTTTTCAAAAAGATAACATAACCAGCAAAGAGAATTACATTAAAAAAATTTGATTACTATTTGGGCTAAACCGAATGTTCAATAAAAACTATTATATAAAAATTTATCTAATTTATGTTAATTGAAAAAAAATTTGTACGAAAAGTTTAATAAATCCAAAAATGGACGACTCATAATGCTAATATCTTTGTAAAGAACAAGCATAGGAAAACAGATAAAAAGAAAATTCTCATAAATAGATGTTTAATTATATTTTTTATTATTTTAACTTTAAATATTTTGAGCTGACAGAAGTAATCTTCATTAAATTATTTATAAAATGTTCTAATTCTTTTAATTTGGAAAAATCCCGAAAGTATAATTATTAAAATAGTTGCGAGACAGAGGCAAAAAAATGTTGAAACATAGAGCACAATCTCTGATGTTACGCATTGTGAGTCATGCTATATCAATATTCATTTACAAAATTTTCAAAAGAATAGAATACATTTTAATCCTGTAATCAGTAAGGGTTTTCATTTAAATTGTTAGGAACAGTTTAGCAGAAAGAATGTATGAATTTTAATCAGGCAAAAAAGTCAAAATTTTTTATTTTCAAAGTAAAAAATTATAAATTATTATTATTTTAGGCATACACGCAAATAGAAGCGGACTATAAAAATTGATTGTTTTTGCCTACATGAAATCATGCATACATGTTAATTTATTAAATATTAAAATTTTATTAGAGCATTGTTAATTACGCTAGCTACGGAATACTAATTTTATAATGAAACCTAATGGACTCTGATATTATAATCGATACATTAAATAAAATACTTTCCAATCCCAGAACTAGTTCAGTTTTCTAATAGCAGTTTATTGAAAAAATATTATAGAAAATTAGGATCACATTCTTTAGCGCAAAAATGCAGCCAGTACAGGGTATGTTTGAATGGTAGAGTAACTGATTTAAAACTACTAGGTCATTTACGAAAATAAAATGTGATGTTGATAATAGATTATTATTGATTAATCATAATTCATAAATATGTAATAATTCTTCTAGGAAGTATCTTTGAATTTTTTATAGGAAAGCCTCAATATAGTAATATTTTTAAAACTTTGTTAATTATCATACATCAAAAACAAAGTGTAAATTTTTACAGAAAATTCATACAGAATACCTCACGATTCCATAAGCTGTTAAGGTTCCATACAAACAATTATTGAAAATATTTTATGCAAAAAAAAACAAACAATAAAATTAGCAGCGCCAAAAAGTAAGGTGTTCTTATTTTTTCGAAATAAAATTTACGAATTCAAATTTATTGGGACACTAACGCAAATAAAATAAATACTTAAAGTTAATTATTGTTAATAACGAACTACTAAATAGATATTCTTGGTATAAAAAAATTTATATCTACAGGTAGGAAGTCTAAATTTAATTATATTTTTTAAATTTTGTTAATTGAGGAGCTTATTTTCAAAAGGGTATCTTTTGATTTTTAATTAATCGAGACAAAATCTAGTTATCTTCAATTATAAATATTTGTATTGAACTTTTTTTAATTTAGCTATAAAATGCAATCGGTTATGAAGCTGCAATTCGATTTTCATTTATAAATGTTCATAATTCTCAAAGTAATTAGTATTTAAAAGTTCAGAAAACTGGTATTTTAAAATATGAAAAGATAGCCTTTTGAAAATCAGCTCCTCAATTATCATTCGCCAGTAACAAAAGAAACATTTTTTATTGAAACCTAATGAATTCTAATGTTATAAGTGGCATTCCGTACAAAACATCTTAGAATTCCACAACAAATTTAATTCTACTGTATAATCGATGTCTAATTTTGAAACAATTGTTGATTAAAACGTTATTACTTCATCAACATCTAACTGTTTTACATGGTCTTGTTCAGTTATAATTAATAAAAAATCATAACTCTCATTGTATTTTACATCTATGCTTCCGCCAAAAAAAAGCATTGTAGAGCAAAGGGTTAAATATTCCGGTGACAAGTTAATTAACTTTCACCTAAATACACAGTTCTTGAAGCAAGATACTAACGTTATTGTAGCGAAAAAAAAATTTATTTTTGCGATGATACAAGTTTTAAGGAGCAACAAACTGAAATGTTTTAAGATAAATTAATTTCGGTATACATTAAGAAATATTAATTGTAATCCCAAAAAAAAAGTACAGAAAAACATTAAACTAATAACAGTTCATAAGTTGTTTGACTTAAAATTTAAGCGCTTTACAAATCTCATGAATGTTTATTTCTAACAAAAAAGATAAAAAATTTTGAACGATAAACTTAAACAAAGAATTTTCCATTAATTTCATAAATAGATAATTGGTGTTTTAAAAAATTTAGATCTATTAACTATAGACAGTCTGAGTATAATTTAATTTAGGACGTTTTAATTATTAATTATCATGAGTCAGTAAAAAAAGATAAATTTTTTATTGGAACCTAATGGATTTTAATGTTGTAATTGGCGCTCCATACAGAATATCTTTCAATCGCGTTGATGAAACAAAGGGTTATTATATTAATATAATAATCAGACATATTCTTAATAAAAAATGAAAGTGTAGAATTTAAGTGTAAAAAATAGGAATTTTTTGATTCTTGAGGAGAACAAAACTATTATTTTTTAGTTATTAAAGACACAAACGAAAATAAAAACTAATTTTTTAAAAATTAATTAAAGTTGAAAAAATGAATTTTTCAATATAAGAAAAAACATCAAAAAAAATTCTATTAACTTTTTTCAGCCAGCCTCAGTACAATAATATTATTCAAGCTTTGTTAACATCCACACGCCAGTAACACAATGAAAGTTTTTATTGTAACCAATCGGATTCTAATGTTGTAATTGGCACTCCATACAAAATACTTTAGAATCTCATAATCTACTGAGGTTTTAATATCGATTGTTGGAAATATTTTGTTAAAAAATTAAGAAATTTTGATTTGAAAAACACCAAGATAAAAGTAGATTTTAGTTTTTCAATAAAAGAAATCCGTAATTTTTTTTTACAAGGACATTTACGCACACACAATGGATTTATGAAATTGATTTTGATTTTGGTAACAAAGAAAGTGGGATTTTATATTATAATTATAATTGTACTTACAGTTTTCTTTACGTCGTTTTGACAAATAAAATTTTTTTACGTCTCCTTCTGCTATAACCACGGAATTTATTTTTTGAAACAAAATTTAACACACAATTACTGACTTCTTACAAAAGCTCTTGTACGCACTCATAGTTCTGCACTCATAGCGAACAACTGACTAACAGTCTAGGCTGAGCTAGATCGCGAACAGAGTAACCCCCTTCCCCACTACCACGTGACTGCAGTGCCTTCGTTTTGGCGGGTTAACATATTTTTTACACATATGACTTTTTCTCTTTTCTTCTCGAGCGACGCTCGACGAGCGTTTACTTACAATTTACTCACTAGATAACAATACTAAAGTTAGCCAACGTTTCTAATTTTTAATTTTTTTTTTTCACTTATTAAATTGGAACCGAAAAATATTTTTTAAAAATTGCACTTAAAATTATTCAAGTTTATTACAAATAAAATTTTTTTTTCTTAATTTTTTGTAATAATTTTTTCATTAAAAAAAAAAATATAAAAATTTTAGATGTCGGCTGACTTAATTTTCATCGCTAGATACTACATTATCTAAATGTAAATCATCAAATGTTCATTGAAATCGTTTTTTGTTTCTTACAAAAAAAATCTAAGCAAGAAATAGTTTTTAATCAATTTTTGTTATTGACTTATTTTTCAGAAATTGAAGAAAAATTTCTTAAAACGATTGACAGCCAGCGAGCCAGAGTAATTTATTCAGATATACAACATTAATCTTGAAATAAAAATCCAATCTGGATAGTCCACTTAGTATCACATATTTATTAAACACTCTTGATTGTAATTTGCAAATAAAAGTATATAGAAGGAATCTTGATGTAAGACTAAATATTTGTATAGAGGCACATATAATGGCTAAACCTGGGTATATCCATTTACATAACATTAGACCTGACATATAAATCTAATTTGTATAGTCCATTATATTTCATAGAGGTTTGAGGTAATTTTAATAATTATTTACAGACATAAATACATTGAATTATTTTTATCATAAAGTTGAATATTCCTATAAAAGCCCACAGCTACACCTATGGATATTCTCATGAATTCCATGAGACGGGATAAAAATTAAATATGGATAATCATCAATATTACATCATTTTGAGACACTCTTAAACGTAATTTATTAATAAAAACATCAAAATTATTTTTATTTCAAAACTGGATTCTCCGATAAAAACTAACTTCTACTGTAGAATTTCATTATGGATATTCTGCTTGATTCGATTAAATTTTAAAGTATTTTTCAATAGTTACTTACAAATAAAAATCTTTAAAATAACTTTTAGTATGGAACTGGAAAATCCAATAAAAATGTTGTTTTTTGATGTGTTTTTGTCGCTGCAATTCCTAAGGCATTCCAGTGGATACCTTATTTGATTATGTTCCTAACTGCTCATAAAATAACATAGACCAAAATGTCGTGTTATTGGTGTTGCCAGATAAATTATTTATTTCCAGTTTATATGGAATTACTTAAATATTCTGATATTTTCAGAATGGCTATTACATATAAAATACATAATTTTTCCCGATTGTGGAATTGTCATTAAAAATCATTAAAAAAATTTTCTTTTTCGAATTCGAAAATCCAGATTGGTTTTTCTGTCCATATAGACTTACGAAAAGAACAGATACAAACCTATGTGTAAGGTGCAGATAAGATCCATACAAATACAAATAACATTATAATCCGATTAATTCCAATAAAGAAACTCCGCTATGGTGGACTTACAGATAGATTCCAATAAATTCGAAATCTCAATCTATCTGGAAATTTTTTACTCCAGATAGACTACATATAAGCCATTACAGATTCTATTGTTCTGTATGGAACTGTATTGGATATTTTCAACAGGGGTCAGTTCACTATCTTGTTTCTCTTTAGGCTCAATTACAACTGTCTCAGTTTTTGATCCTTTAGCTCTGTCTGCATAGGAAGCAAGTTTTTTAAAACTTTTAACTTCTTCTGTCTTACAATCATTACTTCCGCCAATTACATTTTGCACTTCCTCTCTCACAATTTCCCGAACCGTTTTCATTGAGTCATCTTTAATATCTAAGAATAACTGCATTGCAATGTTTTTAATTTCATATCTGAAGTCTTCTACATTTACACCAATTTCCTGGACTCTATCAATCAACGTATCCACTTTATCAGCAATGTCACTAACATCAATTTCCTCATCATACCTTTTCCTCTTTTTTCTTGTTACCGATGAAACAGAAGATGCAACACTGACGTTATCTGATATTTCATGTCCTACACATTCAATTTGCTCACCACGTTCATTTGTGTATTTGTGATTTTTTAACAAACAAGCTTTATGGAAAAGCTGGCCACATCCGCTACACTGATTTGCAGATCTTAAATTAGTTTGCTTACAGTGAGCACATGTGTGCCTCGTAGGTATAACTTGTTTGGCTCCCTCTACATCTATTTTTTCTCACTAACTTTTTCCAACTAGGTTGGTATTTAGGAAATCACTAGAAAAAACGCCTAAAGCGCCTCTATGTTGAAAATTTGAAACTGTTTATTCCACTAGCAAGTACAGAATGTGTTCACTGAGGCTAACCATAAATTTGTAAACACAAACACTTAATTGTTTGATACTAAATTAATAACACCACTCATTATAATAATTTATATATGAGAATTTACAGAAAATTTTTCCACACATTTTGATACATACCACGATTTCACACACTTACTGTAAACTATTTTAATATTATATTCTTACGGAGCACAAAAAAGTACGTCCGTACCAAATAATAATAATAATAATAATAATAATAATAATAATTTTTACAAAAATTTTAAACAACCGTATTTTGCAGGAGATAGAACCTGTATGGCAACAGATATATGAATAGCGTGGCAGCAAAAGAGGCCTGTCAGGTTGCAAGGAGAACTTGATAGTTGATCGATGTGTCATACAAGATGCGATCTACTATCAACGCAACCTTTCAATGGCCTGGATCGACTATCGCAAGGCGTTTGACTCAACTCCTCACGAGTTGATCCTATATCTCCTCAAGTGCCTAGGGGTCAATCCTGAAATAGTGGAAAGCATTCGGCGTACAATGGAGCTCTGGCGAACGCGTTTTCACATTGGAAGTGGAAACGCATTGCACATAACCGGAGTTGTAGAGTACAAACGAGGGGTCTTCCAAGGCGATTCCTTGAGCCCTCCGCTGTTTTGCATTTCACTGCTGCCTATATCTGTTGCTCTCCGTAAAACTCGTGGGGTACTTGTGGGGCACCCGGGTAATCGAAAAT